CGTTGTAGTTTATGTGATCTCCAGGTGTGCCTGTCCTACCTTGATATATAAGAAATGTAATCCAGCTTAGTAAGTGCATAAAGGTCCTGGGTGCTTTTCTGGCTTAAAACTATTCCTTGAATTGATGTCACCACTCAGATAAAACTCAAATTCTGAATCACACGGGCTTGCCTATGATTCTTAATTCCCACAATGCTTCTGAAAGTCCATTTCTTTTCTTTTTTTTATATATTTTTTAAGATTTTATTTATTTATTTGACAGAGATCACAAGTAGAGCGAAAGGCAGGCAGAGAGAGAGGGAAGCAGGCTCCCTGCTGAGCAGAGAGCACGATGAGGGACTCGATCCCAGGACCCTGAGATCATGACCTGAGCCGAAGGCAGTGACTTAACCCACTGAGCCACCCAGGCGCCCTGAAAGTCCATTTCATCTCTCTACTCCCAGGGTCTAGCATAGTGATTCACTATGTACGAATTTATAAGGAAAAAAAAATATATATATATATATATAGAGAGAGAGAGAGAGAGAGAGAGCAATCACTCTGTAAGAATTCACATAGTAATCCTTACATAGTAAGATGATGAGTGAATGGATGGATACATGAATAAACCCAAAACTTTGCTTGGGATATTAAAATAGTTTGACTTGGAGAAAAGGCAGCACAGCATTGCTAAAGAAGTAATTGGTCTTAGGAAATGAATGCATTAATAAATGTAAGGACTTAAAAAATAGAAATATAATTCACATACCATAAAATTCACCATTTTAAAGTGTGTAATTCAGTGGTTTTTAGTATATTCACAGATTTGTACGACCATCACTACTCTCCAGTTAGCAGTCACTCCCCAATTCCGCCTACCCCCACCCTGGCAATAACTAATCTACTTTCTGTGTGGATTTGCCCATCCTGACATTTCCTATAAATGGAATCATACAATAAGTGGCCTTTTGAATCTGGCTTCTTTCCCCTTGTAAGCCCATTCCACTTTGACCATCAGTCTGTGAACGTGTGTTTTGCTGTGTTGTGATTATTTGTTTACCTCCCTGTCTCCCACTGGACTCTAAAATATCACAAGGACAGAAACCATGCCTTGTTTATTTCAACGTTTCTAATGCAGGATTCAGGACTGGGCACAGCGTGGACACTCAGTACATGTTTGCTTTTCCTAATCCGGTGAATCTGGTTGTTCAGTGCTTGGGTGTTCCTCTCTGCACATTTGTCACACGCATAACAAAATGAAAAGTTCCTTACTGGGTCTAGATTGAGAGGAAAGAGGTGGATCCTTGTGGCATGACATGGCTTGCAGTGGGAAAGGTAAACATCTTCCTTGTTTGGGCTACTGCAGACTTGCATGACAGCTAAATTAAAACAGAAGTGAGGGGTGCCTGGGTGGCTCAGTGGATTAAAGCCTCTGCCTTCAGCTCAGGTCATGATCCCAGGGTCCTGGGATGGAGCCCCGCATCGGGCTTTCTGCTCAGCAGGGAGCCTGCTGCCTCCTCTCTCCTCTCTCTCTGCCTGCCTCTCTGCCTACTTGTGATCTCTGTCTGTCAAATAAATAAATAAAATCTTAAAAAAAAAAAAAAAACAAGTGAGACTGAGCACTCTTAATCACTTACGCACATATGTTTCAACTATATTAATTTAAATTAGTGGTTTAAGGGTTATTGAGGGGCACCTGGGTGACTCAGTTGGTTACGCATCTGTTTTGGCTTAGGTCATGATCCCTGGGTCCTGGGATCGAGTCCCCCTATCAGGCTCCCTCTCAGCAGGAGGTCTGCTTCTCTCCCTGCTTCTCCTCCCCCTGGCTTGTGCTCTCTCTCTCTCTCTCTCTCAAAGAAATAAAATCTTAAAGAAATAAAAATAAAAATTATCTAGGGGCATCTGGGTGGCTCAGTAGTTGAATGCTGGTCTCTTGGTTTTGGCTCAGGTCATGATCTCAGGCTCCTGGAATCAGGCCAAGCCCTGAGTCGGGCTCTGAGCTCAGTGCAGAATCTGCTTCCCCTCTCCTTTTCCCTCTGCCCCTCCGTCTACTTGTGTGTATGTGCTTTCTCCCTCTCTCTTTCAAATAAATAAATCTTTAAAGGAATTTTTTAAAAAGTTATTGAAGACACTTTTTTCTTGGTAAATGGATTTATGTAAATATAATTAACATATATGGGGATTATATATATATTTTATTTATTTGTGTATGTGTGTATATATATGGGGATTGTATATGTATTTTAATTTCCCAAGAATTAAAAAAACATATATTGAGCTGATGCTAAGTTGTTACTGATCTATATCACAAGCTGAGATTCTATTCTAAATATGGCAGCATTGGGCTATTCAGGACCCATGATGGCACAGGAGAAGAAGGTAAAAGTCTTTCTTCCTGGAGGGAAAGAGCTCTGGCTAATTTTTTACAGATCCTTCTTGAGGCTCTGAGACTCGGGCATTTTCTCTGAGACTCAGGCATTTCTGAGACTCAAAGCATTGAGTCTCAGAAGTCTCAGAAGACTCAGAAGACACCAGGTTCTTCTAGGAGTTTGACTCAGACTCTAGATAGACAACTGAGAAAAGCATTCTTTCTCTTCTACCCCGGTGTTCTGGACACGCAGTTCCTTCTCCTTGGAATGTTCCATTTCCTCTCAATCAGGTGAATTTTTACTCGTCTTTTAAAACTGAGTCCAACTTGATGTCCTCTGATGCCAACCCTGTCTTCCCTACTCAGAAATATTGCATGCTTGTTGAAAATTTGCCCCCTGTCTAGAAATAGTCCTTGCTTATAAATTTGGGCATATATATTTCCATAATTTTTCCCTCTGTGTATCTGACACATTCTTTTTATACAAGTGGGATCATTTACAGTTCTTGGACTGAAATTTGTTTTCTCACTTAACAGTAAATTATGTTTTTTATAATTAAACAATAAATTATGTTTCTTAAATTCCACATTCATTTACCTTAGTGTATATATACATAAATATGTCATCCTTTATTCCATTTGGATCTACTATTATATTGGTAAACATTTAGGTGGGCTCTAATGTTTTGCTATAGTGAACAGCTGTGTACCTGTCTGTAAGACTTGTGGGAGCCTTTTGGGAGGACAGAATTCCAGAAGTACAGTGGAGTGGGCCAGGAGGATTGTATCCTAAGCATTTAGTTCCAAATGTGTCCTCCTTAGACATACATTCAGGGCCTCAGTAGTGTGATCTCTGTCTATCTTTTGAACCATATCTTCCATCACTCACCTTCCTAACTACTCAGTTCAGACAAAGTGGTTGATTTTTCTCCATGCCCTCAATGCATCTGGGCTTTCCTGTCTCAGAATTCTTGACCACACACTTCCTTTAGTCTTGACAAGTTGTCTTCATTTTTCTCCACCCGTCCAAATCCTTAAAGATTCATCCAAGTCCTTCCTTGGTAGGAAACCTAAACCTGCTCCAGGGGCCCATGTGGTCCTTCTCTTCTCAACTGGGTGGGACACTCACTTCTTTCATCTCTAATCAAGTCAGTCTTCAATCTACTAGCATTGTTGTCTGGAGCTATTTTTCATCTCTTCCCTATACTTGATGTTTTATCTTCCCCAAATACAATGTAAGTTCTGGAAGGAAGGAACATGTCCTGTCCCAGGTTTGCATTCACAAAACCGTCAGTAAGTGTCTTCCCCTTGCTTAAGTGGATTGGCATTCTGTTTCTCTGGAATCTGAGAGCCAGACACGATATAATGAGCCCTGGGTGTTATATACAACTGATGAATCAGTGAACTCTACCTCTATTGCTAATAATATACTTACTGTATGTTAATTAGTTGAATTTAAATGTAAAATAAAAAAGGAAGAAAGGCCATTAGTTTTATTGTTGTTTTTGTTTTTAAATTCCAGTATAGTTCCACTGTGTACAATAAGTGATTCAGCACTTCCATACAGCACCCAGTGCTCATCACAAGTGCCCTCCTTCATCCCTATCACCTGTTAACCTATTCCCCACCCACCTCCCCTCTGATAACCATCAGTTTGTTCTCTATAGTCAAGAGTCTGTTTCTTGGCTTGCCTTCCTTCCTTCCTTCCTTCTTCCTTTCTTTTCCCTTCCTTTCCTTTCCTTCCCTTTCCTTTCCTTTCCTTCCCTCCCCTTCCCTTCCCTTCCCTTCCCTTCCCTTCCCTTCCCTTCCCTTCACTTCCCTTTCCATTTGTTTTGTTTCTTAAATTCCACATATGAGTGAAATCCTGTGGTATTTCATTCTTTTTGATGACTGAGTAATATTCCACAGTGTGTGGAATACACATCTTCTTTATCCATTCGTCTATTGATGGACACTTGGGCGGCTTCCATAGTTTGGCTATTGTAAATAATGCTGCTATAAACATAGGGGTGCATGAATCCCTTTGAATAAGTGTTTTTGTATTTTGGGGGTCAGTACCCTGCAGAGTGATTACTGGATCATAAGGGAGTTCTATTTTTTACTTTTTGAGGACCCTCCATACGGTTTTCCACAGTGGCTGCACCAGTTTGCATTCCCACCAACAGTGCAAAAGAGTTCCTTTTTCTCCACATCCTCACCCAACACCTGTTGTTTCTTGTGTTGTTGATTTTAGCCATTCTGAACAGGTGTGAGGTGATCTCTCCTTGTGGTTTTGATTAGCATTTCCCTGATGATGAGTGATGTTGAGCATCTTGTCATGTGTCTGTCGGCCACCTAGATGTCTTTGGAGAAATGTCTGTTCTTGTCTTCTGCCCATTTTTAAATTGGATTATTGAGGTTTTTAAAAAGATTTTATTTATTTGAGAGAAAACACAAGCTGGGGAGGAGCAGAGGGAGAGAAACAAGCAGACTCCTAGCTGAGCAGGGAGCCCAGCGTGGGGCTCGATCCCAGGACCCCAAGATCATGACCTGAGCTGAAAGCAGATGCTTCACCAACTGAGCCACCCAGGAGCCCCGGATTATTTGTTTCTGGAGTGTCTAGGCTCTTGTCCTACGCACTGTGAGATGTAACAATTTCTTTCTTTTCTTCTAGCCATACTTCCCATTGCCTCCAGCTGTTGCACTGAGGTTTCACATCATATCTCGCGAAGGCTTCTGGAGAGAGTGAATCTGTGTCGCATCCAGAGAGCTGATGGGGACTGTGACTTGGCCGCTGTCATGTGAGTGCTCTTCAGCCAGGAGGGCTAAACCTGTCTGGGGTTCGTTTCTTGGCCCATGAGCAGTAGGTGAGCAAGGCTTTGCCTGATACGCAACATACAAAGAATCATTTAGACGAGGGAGGGGAGAGTAAATATTCCACCCTTCCAGCCTCAGGCTCCCCGAGGTGGGCACAGTCTCCCAGGACTGGTGTGTCCAGAGCCCCAGGCTCGCCTCCGCGGCCCCCACTGCTGTGCTGTAATTCAGGATCAATACTTTCAGTTATTGGACAGTGTGTGTGACTTTCCAAAACAAAACTAGGGACATTCTGAGTGAAAAAGCAAAACAGAAGGAAGGTGTCTCTGTTCTGTTTTGTGGCTTTACCTGTAGCTTTTTCCAGGCAAGTTTATGGGTTGCTGTCATTTTTTACTCCCTGAATTCATCAAGAATATATACAAGGTTCAAACAGAAGTAGATGTCTGTACCTGTCACATGCAATCAAGCCCAAATGCCCATCTGTGCTCTTGATTCTGGGCTGTTGTCTTCTGGTGAACCTTTTCCAAGCTTACCTCTGGCTCAGTTATCAAACACTTTCGATTTCTGGGGCGCCCGGGTGGCACAGTTGGTTGAGCATCTGCCTTTGACTCAGGTCATGATCCCGGGGTCCTGGGACCAAGTCCCACATCGGGCTCCCTGCTCAGCAGGGAGTCCGCTTCTCCCTCTGCCCCTCCCCCAGCTCATGCTCTCTCTCAAATAAACAGAACCTTTAAAGAAAAAAAACAACTTTAGATTTCTGTGTTCTTCATGTCCCCATAGAAACTTTAAAATCTGAAATTCATTGGTACGTAGCAAATCTGGATTCTGACAACAATGCTGTGAGGAAGGCGTAAATTATCTCCATGTCACACAAGATAAAGCTGTGCCCAATGAGTATATAGTTAACCTCGTGACGCACAGCTAGAGAGTGGCAGAGATGGGCTGTGAACCAGGTCTCGTTCAGAGCTCCATATACTTCAGAGATCTCTCAGAAGTGATGATGGGACCCACCATAAAACGCTCTCCCCAAACTTCATTGTATCTGGCACCTTCAGATCATGAGGACAGTGTATCCGGCATCTCCCTGGTGTGCTGGTTTTAACGCCACTGGGGATGCTAATGAGCCCCTGGGTATATCCCCTTCTTGGGGCTACAGATAAGCCCGGTGCTTATGCCTGAGTTCCTGAGTCACTGAGAAGCCTCTTTATTTATTCAGTGAGTTCAACAAATAGTTATTGATTAAGGTTTCTGTACCAAGCACCGTTCTATCTTTGGCTTGTGTGGTTGGATGAAGCAGTAACCTAAGGGACTCTGCCCTCCTAGAGTCTCCAGGACTCTTCACTGAGTCCTGCAGACCGTTCTCTGAGATCTAAGATATATTTTGTTCCCTCTCAGAGGAATCCCAACTATCACCCAACTTTGAGAAACACGGATCCAAGACAAGATTCTTAAAATTTCAGAGGAAGAGTTTGTAAGATGTTCATTGATAGAGTTCCTTCAGGTCTGGGGGCTGTGAACTCCTTAAATTTGTGGGTATGAATGTATGAGCATTTTTTCAAGGGAGAAGGTTCACAGATTTTATAAGGTCCACAAAAGGATCTTAGATAGGATATAGTTTAAAAAGCATACTTGGGAGGGGAGCCGTGGGTGGCTCAGTGTCTGACTGGATTTTGGCTCAGATTATGATCTCAGGGTCATGAGACCAACACCACATCAATGTGGAGCCTGCTTGAGGTTCTCTCTCCCTCTCTCTCTGCTCCCCCGCCCACCCCGCTCACATGCTCTCTCTTAAAAAAACAATTCACACTTGAGGTTAGATTTGCAGAGGAAGATAATTCTGGCTCAGAGTGTTAATGAGCATGAGTATCTATGTGGCAGGAGGACTCTCTGCTTCTCCTCAGCTCCAGTCACCACACTGGGTCCATTGGCTTAGGTGGTTTCATCACTGGGAACCAGGGAGCACTTACCAATGAGGTACCCTCGGAGGGGTGCTTCAAGTTCCCAACTTCTCTGAAAAACTCTCTTAGTACATGGCCAAGATTCTAACAGTCTTTTACTTAATAAATAGTGCTGGTAATAGTTGAGAGTGAGTATCTGTGGGCAGTTCATGGATAGACCACGTACTCTGGAGAATTGGAAACATCTCAGTGCCTGTATCGGCTCTACATACCTACCTTTCTGGCTGCTCTCAGAAACACCAAATGCTCAGCTGTCACTTCTGCCTCACTGGCACACGTCACCTCAGACCATAGAGGCCTTTGAACATGTAAGGGATCCCATGGGACTCCCAGGAAGGTATGGGGAAAGACACAGAGAAGTTTCTCTCTGTATATAAGAGTAAGAACAGATCCTGGGAATTAGCAGGGGATGCCAGTGGTAACAGGATTTCCAGAAAAAAAAAAAAAAAAGGTATAGGAATAGAAATGTTCTCATTTTGATAAGGGAAAATATGATTTTAAAAAAGTGACTTCATTTTAAAAAGCACTTGATTTTAATTAAAGGGAAACTATGAAGCCAATCACTTAGATCTAAAAATAATTTATTAAAGTACAGATTTTAGATACAGAAAACATTGCAAGTGTTAGAAATATAAGTCCCCAAAAGCACGTATTATTAATCTCAACTAACAGATATAAATGAGCTTATAGTGAACTCACTAGATTTCTTTCCTTTTCCTTTTGGGCCTAAAATAGGTCCTTTGATTCACGCCCTGTGGATGATCATTGTAATTTTTGTTCTCTGAGAGAGGAATTTGCTTGTTTAAACCCTTCTACAATGACTTCATGAAAGAGCTTCTGGCTATTTCTTAATATAAACACAGTGCAGAGTTGTTTGTCTTGGGCAGAGCACTGAGGTTTTTGAAGTTCCCAGATACCTGTTGGGAAAAAAACTTGGGGTTATTATATAAAGTTATCTGGGAAGCTAGAGCACTTTTTCAAAAGTGATTGCTGAGGGGCGTTTGTACTTAGGGGAAGGGGCAAAGAAACCAGGTTCAGGGAACAATTACAGGTTTAATGTCTGTGGCGGGGCTGTGCCTGTAGGTCCGTGGACCATCTGTAGCTACTCTCTTAGGGGCAAAAGAATTAGGGGATCAGCCTTATGGTTTCTTGGAGTCCAAAGTCTCCACCAAGATATACACAACGGGCTGGGTCAGCACCCAGCAGAATACTGTGGAGTTGTGGGGGGTGGGGTGAGGGGGTGGGGGGTGGAGGAGGGATTGTGGGATAGGCTACCTCGTCCAACACGACCTCAACTCTTTTTATCCTGATGATGGCATACACCGGGGATACAGGCGCAGGTTTAAGCAGTCTTGAAACTTTAAGATTTGGAAACATCCTAGAACCTTGGATTTGGGAGCTGTGTTCTGGTAGCTGCTTTTTTCCCCTTTTATTTCCTTGAGAGTTTGAGGCCCCATGGGGCAGGCCTTTGCAAAGGGTCCTACATGGTAGCTGTTGCCCGTTTTCCTATGGCTCTCCACCTCCCTGGTCCTCTCTCCATGAGCCCCCCCACCCCTTGTCCAGTGCTCACCTTCAGCTCCAGTGCCCCTGACTCTCCCCGAAGCTCCTTGTTGCTCGTGGACTGAGGGAGTCCCACAGCTAATGCTGTGGGCTTAACTGGATGTCAGTGGAGCGTTTCTTCACTGGGTGTCTGCTCAGGTTCTTGCTGGCCTTTGGGAATGATAGGAGCTTCAACTCCTTTTTGTTTCCTCCTCTGAGCACTATGGCTGGGTGCTCTCCTCTAGCGGCCATTGGCAAACCAACCAGCTTCCCTTTGGGAGACTTCTCAGTGTAATACACTCAGAGAATGCACTGTCCTCCTCTCAAGAAGCCTCACTTCTTTCAAATTAACATTCCCACCTGCTGGCTTTATTATGCGTAAGCTCACTGAGGCCTTCCCCAGGTTTTCCCCTGATTCCAAGAGTCCCCACATTAGCAAATGATTCTTCTTGGGTCATCTGGAAAAAATGGCAACCTACTCTGTATCCTTCTGGGTTTTTTCCCCAGTAACAGGCAGGGGGGCTTTGTTTTATCCAGATACAGAATGTCTGTGGAGAGCCAGCAGCATTGTGACATTTAGTAAGAGCTAGATGGCACCTGGGGGCAAATTAAAAGTCACAGTATCTTTTGTAACAAGAAATTCTTCCAATTCCTAGAAATTGTGGGTGCTGCTTTATGGTTTTCTCACCCCAAGGTGAAAATTTAAAACATTAAAACATTTGAGAAGGGGTTTGAATCCATAGTATATTAAAATGTTACCAAACACCTAGAATATTTTAGTTGACTGTTTTGTTAAAAACAAAACCAGACTGTTTTTATTTTGAACAATTTTCGCTTCATGTCTATAACTAATTACAGAATTCCTACTCTGAACAAGGCCTTTTTTCAAGACAATTCCAGACTATTCCTCCTTCAAGGAGCATCACACCCCAGGACAAGGAGGTTTGAAACAAAAAGTCATACAAAAGACAGCATAAGCTAAATCCCAGAGGAGAGGTCATGCTGAGAGACTCAAAGGGAAAATGGCATTTAGCTGAGACAATCTAGAAAAACTGCGTGGAGGAGAGATGTATGAGATGGGCCGTGAGGTGTGAGTTGGGTTTGTTGGGCGAAGCTCTGGGTCAGGAAATACCATTGTTTTCCCTTGGTTTCTCTCCTTTCCCTCATTCCTTCCCTCCTCCCTTCCACTTTTTTTTTTTTTAAAGATTTTATTTATTTATTTGACAGAGAGAGAGAGAGAGCGCAAGCAGGGGGGCAGGCAAAGGGAGAGGGAGAAGCAGGCTCCACGCCAAGCAGGGACCCTGACTTGGGGCTTAGTCCTAGGACCCCGAGATCATGACCTGAGCTGAAGGCAGTTGCTTAACTGACTGAGCCACCCAGGCGCCCTTCTCCTCCTCTTCATGCTGTGTCTGAGGAACCTCTGGCCACGGGGAAGTGAGGATTCAACCTCATGGGCTCCGCAGCTTAAGAATTCCAGTCTCGTGTCTCTCATTGAGAACTGTGTCTGAGTCACTAAGTTTTTACTTGGCCTTTCCTTCAGTGACTTTGTTTATCTTCCCTCCATGTCAGCCTTCACGTCAGGCGCAGAAGAATCTGTGTCAGCCCACGCAGTCCTGTTATTAAGCAGTGGATAAAAGAACAAGCAGCCAAGAAAAACGCCAAAGGCAACATCTGCCACAAGAAGAAACATGCTGGCCAGAGGAAAAGTAAAGGAGCACATCAGGGGAAACCAGAAATCCACGGCCATAAAACTCCTTATTAAGGCGTTTGCAAATGAACCTACACAGACAGTTCCTCAACTGGACTTGGCCATGGTTGCTTGTAAATTTCTCTCGTGAAAGTTCCTTATTGGGAGTCAACAGGGCAAAACATACTATACATTTTACAGGAACAATTATGCAGGATGCAAACGTAGCCAATAATATGCTCATCTGAAAATGAAATGAAAAGATAGTACTTCTCTTTATATCCTATTTTAAGAGCAGCATACAGATCTAATTTCTCCAACTTTTTTATAATGAAGGTTTGCAAACCTACAGAGAAGTTGAAAGATTTTCACAATGAACACTTATGTACCTTTCACATAGATTAATGATTGTTAATATTTTGCCACATTTATTTTCTCTCTTTTCTCTGAGTGCATGTGTGTATAAAACATTTTATATATAAATACATTTTTTTGCTAAACCATTTGACAATAAGTTGCAGATGTTGTGATACATTTTTTATGTTACAACTCGACATTCCCCAAGAATAAAGACCTTTTGTATATAATCATACTATCAGTTTTATAACTAAATATATATATACAAAATATATATATTCCACATTTAATTTTTCCCCAACTATTTCCAGAGTATAATTTTTGTATAGTTTTTTAATCAATCAAGGTTCACATACTGTAATTAATTGTTACATTACATTAGCAACTTTTATTCTAAGAAAATCTCCTGCTTTTTTTCTTTTCTTTCTTCCCACGGCACAGACTTTTTATAAGAGAGTCTGGGGCAGAATCTGTCCCACATTCTGGATTTGCCTGTTTTCTAATGACTGCTTTCAGGTGGAGCAGTTTTGATAAGAACGCTATGTGAATTTGTGTATTTCTTATTGTATTACTTAGAGTTTGTAAACACTGGAGTTTATTTTCTGCATAGAAAAGTCTTAGCTGTATATCACTTTATTTATTTTCTTTTTTATTTCTTTTCAGTGTTCCAGAATTCATTGTGCATATCACTTTAATATCACATCTAGTTTGAGTAACTACCTTTGCTGGATCAAGAAACTCTGATGCTAGAAAAAAAAAGTCTGCTTTGCTCAGGGAGCCCTCCAGCTCACACAGTGAGTTCTTAGTGCACGAGGGAGGGATCCAGAGTTGGATGCCATGTGGGATGAGCTTACATTCTCCTAACAAGAACCTTACATCTCTTAACTCCTGGCCCATCTTTCCCACACCTTGTGGTGGATCCTGTTGTGTGGCTTGTCTTTTGGCCTCCTTGTGGTCCACAGAATCTTCCAGATGCAGAGTAAGACCTAGGGTCACATGGAAGAGCTGAGCCTCCAGTAGGTTAAAATATCATCAAACGGCCTTTATTTAGTTCCCCTCATGGACAGTAAGTTAGCATGTGATTTTTTAAAAAGATTTTATTTATTTATTTGACAGAGATCACAAGTAGGCAGAGAGGCAGATGGGGGTGGGGGGAGCAGGCTCCCTGCTGAGCAGAGAGCCCGATGCAGGGCTCTATGTGGGGCTTGATCCCAGGACCCTGGGATCATGACCTGAGCGGAAGGCAGAGGCTTTAACCCACTGAGCCACCCAGGTGCCCCAGCATGTGATTTTTTATTCTTTATCAAGAGTCCTGTGAAATTTGTGCTGATATTTCTACTTTATGGATGAGGAAATCTGAAGCTCATAGAGGTAAAATGACCTGCCCATGAGCCTACAGGAAGTGGCAGAGACAAGCTTTGTATCCAGGTCCCCAGACTTTCCCCAGTTCTGGCAGCCCTAGCTCTGGGCCTAAAAGGTGTGCTTGTGGATCTGGGGCAGAGGGAGAGGAGTTCAGATCAAGATCTCTGCACCTGGTGCATCACGAAGGGCTAGGGGATGCCGGCCAAAGGTTCTAGGTTCTACGGAAGGCTAGCTAGTACTGAAATCTGCTGCTACTGGCATTCAGGTGCTGACAGTGACAATAGCCACCTCCAGAGAGTGAAACAGGCCCCAACCTGACTTGACAGAGTTTTATACTCCTAGGCAGTGGAGGAAATTACACTCTATTCGTAACCTTTGTTTTGCAAAATCTCTCTCACCATGTTTTTCTTTTCAACATAAAGACATATTTTATAAAAAAAAAAAAAATACAGCATTCTTCCACTCAAGCCATCAAGCTTTTTTTTTTTTTTTAAGATTTTATTTATTTATTTGACAGAGAGATCACAAGTAGACAGAGAGGCAGGCGGAGAGAGAGGAGGAAGCAGGCTCCCTGCTGAGCAGAGAGCCCGACGCGGGACTCGATCCCAGGACCCTGAGATCATGACCCGAGCCGAAGGCAGCGGCTTAACCCACTGAGCCACCCAGGCGCCCTCCATCAAGCTTTTTAATATAATTCAGGCGATCCTAACAAAAATGGTTCCTAGATGTCTTAGCCTATTCTGGCCCCTGTAAGAACATGCCAGAGGCTGGGGAACTTATAAACAACAAACATTCATTCCTCATGTTTCTGGAGGCTGGGAATCCTGGATGATGGCGTCAGCTGGTTCTTCCATGTCTGGGGAAAGTCCTCTTGCAGGGTTGCAATTAGTGTTCGGTAGAAGGCATGTGTATACCAGGGTAGGAAACTGGTGTGCTGTGTGTGTGTGTGTATGTGTGTGTGTGTGTGTGTGTAGGGAGTCAACTTTAGAATTCTTCCAGTTATGTTGGTTTTCAGTTTTTGAATCAATCTGAGATTCTAGACCAGAGATTCTGAACTGGGGTAGAGACTGATTTTTGCTCTCCTCTCCTAGGGAACATTTGGTAACATCTGGAGAACTGCTAATCCACCTCCCATTATAGGTATAAGGTGTAAGAGAGTCCCCAAAATAAGTATCTAGCCCAAGATGTCAGTAGTGCCAGGGCTGAGAAACCCCAACTTAAAGAAAGCATCAAGGAAAATTCTCCTCCTCCTTCCCCTCCAAATCCCCTCCCCTTCCTTCTTCCCCCTCCTCTACAGAATTATCCTTATCACCCTCAGCCACATAGGCTAATGGATGATATATGGTGGATGTATTATTCAAAGTTACAAAGATAAAGAATAGTCGTAAAACTCAAGATGGGGAAGGAGAAGGGAAGGGAAATTGGGAGTAGTAAGGAAACAGTAGACATTGCCTAAAATTGATAAAGAAATAAAAAATACTTTCAGCATTTCATTTAAAATGGTGGAGGTAACCACTGATGGGTTACCCCCAAATATGGCATGTTGAAATATTGACTAAGCTGAAGGACTTTGAGAAAATGGGACAAGCAAGAAGGTCATTCTGACCTCCCCATCTTTCTCCTTGAAGCAGGTCCTAAATAGCTCAGATATGAGATGAAAACTTATATTAAATAAATGTATATATTTTTCCTCTGTTCATGCCATTGTCAGCTTAAATTTTCAAACCCATTTAGGGACTCTAAGAGGATTGAGGAACACTTTCTTTCCCCGTAACACCAGAAATAAAAACTTTAAAGAGATTTAAAAGGGCCGTATCCAAGAAGTAGGTCTGGGAATAGGGAGGATACAGTGAGAGAATGTTTTTGATGATAAATTCTGCTGCACTTTTGATTTTTTGTTTTTTTACTATGCACTTGTTACTTTATAAAAATACAACCTTAAAAAAACTTAGGGGGTTAACCCAGGTGATCTATTTGTATAGGAAAAGGTAACAGTATTGGTGACACAATAATGTTTTAGTAAGAGTGATAGCCTATAAAATAGGATTTTTTTAAAGAGGCTGCTTGCCCAGGTACGTGGTCCTCATACAGAGTTCCACTTACATTGCAGTAAAATTGCATTTAAAAAATATAGTATAGAAACCTACTGTCTTTATGGTTGCCCCCAAAATTGTGTAGGATTATGGGTCTTCCTTGGAAACAGAGACAAAATTTAAAATAACCCAAGTTCTTAGTAGAGAGTCTTAGAGACCAATTTTTAAAAATTTTTTCTTGACTATATTCCCTATGCTGTACTTTCCATCTCCATACCTTTCTTATTTTATAACTGGAAATTTTATCTCTTAACCAATGTTTTTATTTTATCTTCTCAGTCATGTTAATTATTATATTATTATTATTATATTATTATTAACTTATAATTAACATAATTATTATGGTTTATTTAAAAACCTGTGATTTGTTTTCAAGTTACTCTCCTATTATTTTTTTTTTTAATTTAATGCTGCTTTCTCAAGATTTTGAAACCTTGTCATTTGTTTTAATTTGCAAAGAAGGAATACTTAGTGTTCTAGTCGGAATACTTAGTGTTCTAGTCTGAACACTAAAACCCATGTGTTGAAATCTAACCCCCTGAAGGTATGGTATTAGTAAGTGGGGCCTTTGGGAGGTGCTTAGGTCCTGAGGCTGGAACCCTCAGGAATCATGCCTGATTAAAGTCCAGACAGGCACCTCCCCCCATCCCCGCCTCTATCTTTTCTACCTCATAAGGACACAGGGAGAAGTGTTGCAGGGAAGGTCTCTTTCAGATGTAATTAAGATCACAGATCAGTTGACTTTAAGAGAGGGAGATTATCTGCATGGGTGTGACTTAATCACCAGAGCTTGCCAAGTCTGGGTCTAGAGGTGGGAAACCGGGCAATGGAGAGAAATTCAAAACATAAGGATTCTACATGCCATTGCTGACTTTGAAGATGGGAGGGGGCAAGTGAAGAGGTTCATGAGAGCCCCCCTAACCCCTGCCACCCCCACTCCCAATGTGCCATGGTGGCATGTGGATTTTTTTTTTTTTTAAAGATTATTTATTTGACAGAGAGAGAGAGGGGGGGGGAAGCAGGCTCCCTGCCGAGTGGAGACCCCCATGCGGGGCTCGATCCCAGGACCTTGAGACCATGACCTGAGCTGAAGGCAGAGGCTTAAACCACTGAGCCACCCAGGTGCCCGGCATGTGGATTTTTTGACCTGAAAACACTTGAGATCCTGCGGGCTCAAGAGAAATTTTCACCCCTCCCTTAACTTCATAGAAGAATCTAAACTGGGGGGGGGTCTTTCCCAAAAGAAGTGTTATTAACAGCAAGAGAAATTTTATCCGAGTGACCCATCTGTATGGTAGGGCAAATAGCTTAATTCCCAAACCTTGCTCTTCTTATCACCCTGTGAAATACATTCCTCTCTTTTGAAACTCCAGACACCTAACCCCTTCTCCTTAGTTCAGAATGACATATATACCTCCTTTTGCCTGTCTTTGGAATTTCCATGTCTATGTGGATTCCCCTTACGTACACTTATTAAATTTGATCTTCTCCTGCTAATCTGTCTCATGTCTGTTTGATTCTTAGCCCAGCTAGAATGACCTTTGAGGGGACAGGAATTCTTGCTCCCCAATCCAAGTCAGGTGAGAGCCGCCTCCAGCTGACAATTAGATACCAAGCAAATGCGGACCTCAGTCCTACACCCACAAGGAACCGAGTTTAACCAGGAACAAGGATGTGCTTGAAGCAGATTCTGTCATGGAGACTGGGAATGCAGCCCAGCCAATATCTCAGTTTCAGCCTGTGAGACCCTAAGCAGAGAACCCAGGCATGCCACG